CTGCTTTGTACTCATTCTTTTTCTCTCTCCTTTTTTACAGAAATGAGCCGTCAGACTGCTACAGCACTACCGACAGGTACTTCCAAGTGTACGCCATCCCAGAGGGTGCCTGCGCTGACTGGCACAACAGCCTCCAACAATGACTTGGCTAGTCTGTTTGAGTGTCCTGTGTGTTTTGACTATGTGCTGCCACCCATTCTTCAGTGTCAGAGTGGCCACCTTGTTTGCAGCAACTGTCGCCCCAAACTTACGTGCTGTCCAACTTGCCGAGGTCCCCTGGGCTCCATTCGCAACTTGGCTATGGAAAAAGTTGCCAATTCTGTACTATTCCCATGTAAATATGCCTCTTCTGGATGTGAGATAACTCTGCCGCACACAGAAAAAGCAGACCATGAGGAGCTGTGTGAGTTTAGGCCTTATTCGTGTCCATGTCCCGGTGCTTCGTGTAAGTGGCAAGGTTCTCTGGATGCCGTGATGCCCCACCTGATGCATCAGCACAAGTCAATTACCACGCTTCAGGGAGAAGATATAGTGTTCCTTGCTACAGACATTAATCTTCCTGGTGCTGTTGACTGGGTTATGATGCAGTCTTGTTTTGGCTTTCATTTCATGTTAGTGTTGGAGAAACAGGAAAAATACGATGGTCACCAGCAGTTCTTTGCGATTGTACAGCTGATAGGAACACGCAAGCAAGCAGAAAACTTTGCTTATCGACTTGAGTTAAATGGCCATAGGCGGCGATTGACTTGGGAAGCAACTCCGCGCTCTATCCATGAGGGAATTGCAACAGCCATTATGAATAGTGACTGTCTAGTCTTTGACACCAGCATTGCACAGCTCTTTGCAGAAAATGGCAATTTAGGCATCAATGTAACTATATCAATGTGTTGAAATGGCAATCAAACCTCTTCAGGCCAGTGTTTAAAACCATTGCATTTAATTTAGCAGAAACTAGGGTAACCATCTTTGACTGTCAGAGAAACTATTTGGTAGACGAAGGATAGATGTAAATGAAGGTAAATAAAAGGAAAGGCTGTTAAATCACAGGAAGCAGTTGCATGTAGTAACACTAATATATTTAAAATAAGTCAACAGTAAACCACTGAAAATATATATACACCCAAAATGGGCATCTTTTGTATTAAGAATTGATTCTACAGGAAATGTTGTAAAATAATTCTAAAAACTTGTTTGTAGATTGATTGTACTGTTGAAAAGGATACTGTTTCGTGTTTTTGTTTGTGTTTTTTTCCTCCCCTTTGACTGACAAGCCATGTTGAGCGGTCTGACCTCTGGCCGCTGCTTTTTCCCCCACCTTTGTAAGTCACTACATAGTATTGCTGCTGTTTGTGTATATTTTTTGTGTATTTGCTAATTTTTATTAACTTCTAGTTTTTCATTAAATAAATATGACTTTCTTTTCTGTAATTCAGGTTTTCTCTTTTTTGTATCTTTTTAAAATTAATTACAGGTGTCATCTTTTGATATGCATTATTGCTATGGTAAAACTTATATTTCTGTATGTTTGGTAAATTTTGTCTCTTTCCAGTAGTCAATTCATTGGTGATACTGTTCTTAATTGAGCTATTTTGTGAATGTATTGAACTTGAAAGGAGCAATTATGTTCAAAGCTGTGTTGGGAAAGAAGGCTCCTTTAAAAACAGTCTAGATGTTGTTGTACTTTGAGTTATATCTTCTAACAAAAATGGAGAATTATTGAGATTTTTTCTAAATTAAAAAACAAATTCACATTTCAAATTTAGAGATGCTTAGAAACTCAGTTGCATCCTTGTATTAGTTGTTTTTTCAGTACAAAGAAGGTATTGTATTACACAGTATTTGTAGCTATAAAAACAGAGCATTTGTTTAAAAAAGAAAAAGACAAAGCAGTCAGAATGAAATGTTTTCAGTCTTTTTATATTTGTCATTAAAAGAATACCTGGCAAATTTAAAAAAAAAATTGCTTTTTGCTTTAGCTCAAAGTTTGACACATTAATACTATTGCTCAATTTCTTGTCTTCATGTCTTTTGGTTGTTACTAACAAAAGTAATTTTCTTGGACTGATCTTGTATATCATTGTAGTGATATGATATACAGTAAAATGCAAATAATTTCTTACAGGTATAAGTCACCAGCCATAAAGGCTTTTTGTAGGATATTGGGCTTTATGCAGGTTGCCTATATGTGAAAATTTTACCATGAATGTATATGGTATGTGTGTTATAAAACATGGAGGCAGAAAAAGGAGTAAGTTGAAAAAAAATGTTAAATCTCACAATATTTGAAAGAAATCGTTGTCAAACCTAGTAATGATGGACATCTGTTTGGAGAGGTAGTCTGGCTATTAACTACTTTTGTAACACATTAAAATACAGTTTATTTACTGTGCACTGTCTTTAATAGACTGATTTCTGATAAGAAATTTAAGACAACTCTTGCTCAAATTGTTTTGATGCAGGATGAGGTAAGTAGTTTTCCAGGTAAGGACCATGAAAAACAGCAGTGGGGATGCATAAAATATAGAACCAGAGGTGGCTTTGGTTAGTAGAATTGGGAAGTGTCAGGTTTTACAAGACTATTTTATGCTGGTTGAGTTTTCACAGATTTCATCTACAAAATGTACTGGTGTCTTGTGAAAGCAGGTAGATGCTTCAGAGGAGTCTGCAATCCAGCATTATTTTCCTCATGAACATACAAGAATTGTTTGCCAGTCTTCTGAATCCCGTAGTTACTCTCACCTTCATCCACTTGTGTATGTTACCTCAGTTTTATCTTCTAGTCTACTGACAGAAACTTGGCCAAACTTTACATTATTTTTATATACATATATGCACCCACCCAGGCGCTCTCTTGTGAGTGGCTGACTGGCAGCGACAGTGGCTCCTGCCTGTCAACATGATCTGATTTTAACACTCAAGTTTTGTTAAGAAATCCTAGCTAAGTACTTGCTAGGCCAGCCCTGAGCAGGCTCTTTCTTACATCCAAGTGTAACAGGATGGGTAAGCACAGGGTTTACTTAGGGGTGTTCAGCGGTGCTGCTTGTAATTTAAATGGCTCTGTGTCTATCACCTGTCCCAAAAGAACATGGCTTTTAAATTCTTATTGCAAGTCAGTGCTATGATTTAATTTAGGCCAGGAGGAGCTAGTTCTTAAAAAGAATGTATTTTTGAGGAGGATTTTAAAAATTGTGATGATTTTTAGAAGCTACTGGCATAGTCAGGTTCCTTTTGATTGTGTGTTACAGGTAAGAAATGCTATAGCATAACTAATGTGTGCTGAACTGTTACATCGTAAACTAGTACTACTGTATTTGTTATAAAAATTTATATAAAGCATTTGATGTCCACCTGTACATGGAACAATGAAGCATATAAATTATGCTTAGGCCATGATCTTCAAAAGTATTAAGAGTAAAATTCACTAGACCTCCTCTAAGTAGTTATTATAAAGTATTATCTCTGTGTAATTGGGAATTGCAAGTGGAAATACTCAGATTTCTCTTTAAATGAAATGCAGCAGAGCTTGCATTTGTCCTCATTAATTATAGTGCTATTGCCACTGCTATCTCCTTGTGCTTAAAGAACAAAAATTTTATCATAAAGTTGGATGTGAATATTTGGGTTTTGTCTTGATGTATCTTGCTACTTTTTTGTTTACAGTATTGCTTCAAAATTGAAGTAGGTTAAAATCTTCTGTATTGCTGCCTATACCACTGTATTATTTATTGCTGTTTCTTTTCAAAGCTAGTATGATTAAGAGTATGAGTATCACTGGCCAGCTAGTTATATTTATAACTGTTTATAGTGTGGGTAGAAGAAAGGCAATACCACTGGATTCTTAAGCTTTGTTATCGTAGGTAAATGCTGTGAGAGGCACAAGGGACACACTTTTGTTTAATGGCAGCTTTACTTACGTACCCTACCAGTGAACTGGAATTACCTCAGAAGCCCTCAGCTGTTCTAGCTTGCTCAGGCACTTGATTTTTATTTTTGCCTACGTTCAGTAAAAGGATAAAGCACTTAAGCATTAGCCATAGTAACAGAAACTATATGGTCTTTAAAAAAGGAAAATAACAGGACTAAGTCAGCTCTGCAAGTAAGAACACAAAACCCTGTAAATCTGTGTAAGGCTATTTGAGTGGCATAAAGTACTTTACCTTTCAGTCCGCAGAAGCGAGATGTATGGCTAGGAATGGTGTGGCAGGGGAACAGCTGTTGTTTGACTCTTCTTAGATTAGAAGCAGCTCCCTGGTTTATCTGAAGTGAAATCACTGTAATTTATTTATATATTTTCCCCTTGCAGTTAGTTATTCCCCTTTATTTATTTTCCCCTTGTATCAAAGTACTTAATATCTTTAAAAAGTTAAGGGCTTGCTACATGTCTGAGCAGACTGCGCTGGGACCCCCTGCGCGTCTGTCTGTGCCCTGTGCAATGCGCAGGACTGGGACTTGAGCCCCAGTAAGCTGGGTAAGAACAGAATGTTTTTTCCTGCTGGTTTAGATTAAAGGCAATCAGCATATTGGCTATGATACCTTTCTGGTGGCTTACATATTGTCTAGTTTCTTTGAGGTTTTTATTTTTTTTTTGTATTCCAGTAAGAAAACATCCTGGGACTCCCTGCATTGCACCCTGATTATTCACTAGCTAAGTTCCAAACTATGTTATTGGTAAGAGTAGAATTTTTAAAATAATTAAACAAAAATATATTTTTCATTTTTATTAGGTGAAATTTAATAGTCTTCCCATGAATGCTTTAAAAGCTCTTATAAATTGGGTGCAGAAATACCATTCTTGTGTCATTCATAACAGTACTATTATATTCCAAGAAAATAAATTTGTATATATAAATTAAAAGAAACAATTTTAAAGGCTGCTTATATCATGTAGTTTGTGTTTTATAAACTCACCTCCCTTGTTTTGAATTAATGAGCTATAGACTGTAGCATGCTGGTTCTTTCTTTTTTTTTTTTTTTTGCAGTTGACTCTAGTACAAAGCAAAGAAAAACTTAAGAACCTTAGATTACAGAAGTTTAAATTTCTATCTTCACTAACATCTAGGGAAAATGAGGATAGCCTTGTCTCTAGGATAGCTATCTTGAGATGGGATACTGACAGACTTTCGTAAACCTTAAATAATTCACAGCCCCTAATTCAGTATTAATGATCCACTTTTCCTGGCACTGTTAATTAAATAAACCAATTATTTTTTATAGGCAAAACTTGAAGCATAAACATCCCAGAATCACAATGTTCCTAGTTTTGGGTCAGGTAAGATGCAAGAAGGAGGTGTACTCTGTCCCTCCAGAATGTTACCAGGCTCAATCTTTTCATAAAGTCTTCAGCTACGCTCAACCTACTACTTCAGTACTGTTAAGTACAACTTTGCGTACATGAACTTTAGTGCACTCCTTTCTCAACCAAGAACTAGTACATTTAAATTCCTCCTTAGTTGTTTCCTGTATATAAGTGTGAAAAATGAGATCTACATTGGCATCATTAAAATAAGAGTTACTGTGAGGTGCCAAAAGGGCTTGATGATTCAGACAAAAATGCTTGTTTAAACCCTTTAAGCAATTTGGAGATCTCCAAACTGTGCATTTTTCCTATGATGCTATTTATTGTATTGCTTATCTGCATTTAGGAAATTAATATTCACTATTTTACTATTTTTGCACCAAGTCAGTTGGTTTTGGAGTAACCTCCTTGCCATTAGCTTCTCTTGCTGCAGGGATGCTTTTGTCTGAACATCCCATAGAATTTTGTTAACTCCTATTTGTGGGTTTGTTCTCTTCAGAGATGTTATCACCAAATGACAATTATATAACATTATACCAAATAAGCTAAGGAATAGGATTTTTCTCATAGCTTCAGCTCTCATGCTTGAAGCTCTCAGTATCAGGAAATTAGTAATTTTTCCAAGTCTTTTTGCCAACAGTAGTAAAAAGCAGGAAACACCTCCAAAAAATATGGTTGCAGGATGTTAACTGCTGAAGTAATAGCTTTAATTGCATTCACATCTGCATTTAAACAAATCAACTAAAGTTGATAGTTATAATTGCTATATGGTTGCTCATTAATTGATCAGTATTAAAATTTGATGCAGAAATAATCTTAGGCTGTCTGCTTAAAGTTTACTATTCAAACGCTCAACTATGGGCTTAACTGAAAATCCTCCATCAAAAGCTGCATTAAGAACTTCGTCCAGACAGCTTGCCATAACAAAAGTCAGGTCTTGCCGCACGTTCACCGCAATTTCTTCAAGATCTTTTTCATTTCTTTGAGGAATAATAATTCTCTTCAGTCCAGCTCTGTGCGCAGCCAGGACTTTGTCTTTAATTCCCCCAACCTAATAAAGAGGAAAAAAACATTAAAATGAGACTAATCTAATAAAGAATTATTGTAGTAAATTCAGCAATCACACCAGGAGATAAATTTTAATAAAAAGCTTTTCCTCCTCCAATCATTTAGAAAAGTAATTAAAACTGTAGCAATAGTTCTAGCTCATAATATACTTAATAAGGGAAATAAGGTGGTAATGTACTACAGTATACTTTCAGTAACAGTTAAGGGGGGGAAGTTCTGGATTAAAAGAATAATCTATGAATGCAGATGCAAAGAGTATCAACAGTGGGAAACACATTACTTGCAGGAAAAGAACAAATTCTAAAGAAAAACTGCTTTAACGCTTAATTCTTTCACTACAGCATGCTGACATCCTGCAACTGCATTATAAGGCGCCTTCAAGATAAAGGCAGTGATAGGTGCTGCTGTCAGTCTTACCTGATAAATAACTTCAGCTGTACAAGGGAACACACACAGAAATACAAATGTGCACCCCACAACTGCCACAATGGCTCTGGTCTAGGAAAACAGGCTTCGCTTCAGGAAGGCACCTGTTTGAGTTTGTAGTGAGATACTGAGAGGATTTTAAATTTGTTTCTGTTCCAGTCACAGTTACAGCTTTTCCCTTCATCTTTTTTTCTAAACCTACCTCCAGACCAAGTTAGAGAAAAACTACCAATTTTAAAATGGTTTAGTCTCAGACCTATGTGTATATATATATATATAGCAAAAAAATGTAAGATTTACACTGTGAACATTGGGTTCACTTTAGCTTTTAACAGCAGGGAACCTTGCTGCACTAACTGCCACCCAACTCTTCCAGAGAGCCTCTGAGTCCATTACCATATGCAGTTTCTCTCGTTTACTTTCTACTGCGTTAAATAAAATGCTTTATAACCTCAGCGTTGGGTACAAGATAATTCCCACATCCACTTATAATCAGTAATGTCAAGCTCCATGTGCTGCTACTGTTTTTCAAACAGAGTGAGGGGTTTTTTTTTTTGTTTTTTTTTTTTGCCATTGTTGTATGAAAAAGCTTTATGGGAACTTCCATTGAGCTGAACCACATATATTGAACAGCATCTAGAAACCCATATATAGAAATGTCACACATGACTATTTCAGAGTAATTTATGTGAAATTACTGTAAGAGTTTTAAGAAAACTTTACAGTGAAACTAGAGATCCTCTTTTACTAATAGTTTGAGGAAATACATTTGAAGTTGCAATACAAATGTGGAACTGTTTTGAATATTCAGATCTCTAAGTCTGCTTTTCTCATCAGGCATTTTAATACACTTGCCAGGAAGGGAGCATGGCGAGCCCCTGGGCATGACCAGCAAGGCTCTGCTTTTGTAAGGAGGCGCGAACAGGTTTTAAGTCTAGAATTGAAGAATTACTACAACTTAGCTCGTTTCTCAAATGCTACTTACTGGAAGAACAAGGCCTCTTAGTGTAATTTCTCCTGTCATGGCTACATCTGAACACACCAGCCGCCCACTGAAGAGTGAAGCAAGGCAGGTTACTATGGTAACACCAGCAGATGGTCCATCTTTTGTGACAGCTCCAGCTGGGAAGTGCAGATGGATGTCAGTGTTGTCAAGGAGATCAAAACTTCCAGAAGCTTAAAGAAAAAAGAACGGTTTGAATGTGAAAAATTTGAACCTGTTTTGTTTTCTTGGCCTTTATTCTAAAAGGGCACCAGAGAACTACTACTCTTCGCGCTGTTTCTAATGGCACGCTGAAAAAGCATCATTGTATTCCAAAAAAGACAAAACCCCTCAAAACCAACAAACTTATTTAAATTCAGATTCCCATATAAAACCCTTACACATTAACCCATCTGCCACTGTTGGGAAATTCAATATAGAGATTAAATATATGAATTTCTTGATCTCTATATTTTTTTTCTGTTATGTTCTAAACATTAAATGTCAGCTTTCCTATGTCAACAGCAGGAAAGCAGTGCTCTATTTAAAAGTTAATATCTTCCTGTTTATGTTATCTATGTGACATTGCTATAAATAAATATACACACACACTTTCCTCTCTGGTTTAAAATATTGATGCTAGCAGTATTTCCTATGCATTCACTCAGTCCTTTTAGTTTACTAAACTATCTAAACCACTCTAAGGAATGATAAATACTCAACAATTACTGGGCTATTGGTTTGGCTGTTCACCAAATTACAAAGCATCCTCCAGGACTCTGGGGTGTACTTTAAGCAAGAAATCATTGATGACTTGAGAAGCCTTATTCTGTTAACACCCGTTTCTACAATGAACAAGAATAACTGCTAATGTCATTCTGCAATGCCACAATCTATGAGGCATTAGGTCTTTTTAACGCCAAGCAATATTAACGGCCTCCTTTCTGTGCATCTTCGCGCTGATGCAATGGGTGCACGGGAGCACTCAAAGGCTCCCATTCAGTGCCAGCAGCGCCCCTCATTGCCCCCGCACCGTTGGTCAGCTGGTATCTCTTTGCGTTGCTGCGCAGCCAGCTAATGGCCAGATGCGCCGACTCCTTCATGACATCTCCGAGCTGGCCCGTGAGCGTGAGCTGCCCCTCGCCATCCATGCGACTGGCTTCCACGAACATGATCTCGCCGCCCAGCGGGGTCCAGGCCAAGCCTATGGCCACCCCAGGCTGACTCAGCCGTTCTGACACCTGAAGGAAGAGAATGTAGGAAATGAGTTAGGCAACAATCTCAGCTTAAACCACTGCAAAAATACTTTTGATAGCTGCCTTTGAAACAATTGTATTCATTAAAAATCAAAAGATTAATACATTACTGTTGGGTTAAATGCAATCATATTTAATCCAAAAATCATTTTTCTCTGCTGTCTAATCTGTTTTCTCTGCTGCATCATGTTTGCTTTTTGGCCTCCAAATCCCATCAGAGTCCAATTCTTTCATCCAGGAGAGATGAATCTTCAAAGAAAATTCCTTAAAAGGTTTGAATTTCATCCTTTTAGTAGCTTTCCCTTCTGTTTTCTACACAAGTTTGTGGTTCAGTTATCTTTTTTTCCAGGACAAAGACAGCACAACCTGGTGTTCCAGCAGAGCTTTACAGGGTACACTGCTTTACAGATACACACTGCTTATACTCAAGTCAGTTCACTTGGACCTAAAGCAAAGCACCGAATAACTGGCATTGTCATTAAACGCAGCAAATGCAAAAGCAGGAAAGAAACTCAAGGTTCTGGAAATAAACCTACCAAGGAGCAGAGCTGCCTAATCATGAGACCTATTTTTAAGTTGCATTAATTTAAAGAAAGTTTGAGAAGTTTTAGTGTACAATGAAGTGGCTTTAATACCCCAAAATGCTGACTGGCTTTAGGGGATATGTGGGACAGTCCTTAACACAGCTACCTCCAAGGCAGGATTCCTGGGTTCCACTTGTGGCTTCTTTCCCAAGACCACAAACCATTCCCCAGACAAAAGCAAAATTGTTACAAACTGAAAGAACACCAACACATTCTTAAGCACTACTGCAGGCATCTTTGCTCACAGGAAGTCTGTCATGGCATTACTCATCCTCTAAAATAAGTAAGTAAACAAAAATTTCTTTAGGTGAAAAGATATCTACTGAAATATAAAGAATTTTTTACATTACATTTTTTTTAAAGGTAATATTGCACAAACTCAGTCAACAGCAGAACAACAGAGACTATTCAAAATAGAGCGACAGCAGTCAAACAGAAACAAATGAGGCTGTTACCTCCATTTCATACATAGGTGGCCCCAGGATATCTTTTAAAGCATGGAAATCAATTAAAATCGGCATTTCAGGTGGCAGAGCCAGGTCAGCTGTGTCACTGATGGAGTCTGTTTTTGCATCTTCTGTGATATGCTCTTTGCATTCTAAGAAAAGAAAAGATACATAGTCAAATTACAGATAATACGTCATCAAATTTCATTGAGACTAAAGACTAAACACGTTCTGAACTGTCCAGCAAAGACAATTTTAAATCAAGAGCACTGATGGAGAAGCAACTTGCTTCAAGTAGGTCATGTTGCAAAATACATGAAGTTCGTTTAGGATTTCGCTCTTTTCATTAGATATATATAAAAAACATTTGCAGATGATGATGTTTAATATAGTATAATATAAATAATGGAGCTGAATGTGACTATAATTAACTGCAGTCCTTTTTATGTACACTTACTGCTGTGCTGTGGTCTCCTGCAAGGGTTTCAATGCTTACTTCAACTTACTTCCGACATTTAGAAAGAATTGAGCTCTGTCGAATCCAGAAGTGCCACTTAGGCCACATTTACCCAAGTTGTTTTGCCACAGCACTGCGGTTATTAACTCTACTCCGCACCTCATTCAGTAATATCTCCTTTCCAAAACAAGCAGCCTTTTAGGTAACTTGGCCTTTTTGGAAATACCCACTGACACAATGCACCCTTCCAAAAGGGCTATAAACCCCAAAAACCTAATGCTTTCAGACATAAAATACTCAAATCATGAGGAAGGAAAGGCTCACACAAAGCTCTAGTTATGGATTCAGAAGCATGTTCCTTTCTTACTCCATTTTAAGTACCACTGTATTTCTGAGCAGTACAGCTGTTTCCTTAGTGATAACGTTTTAGTTTTCTACACAAATGTTAAAATGAATAATGTTAATGGAGACCCTGTAAATACAAAAGCCTGAAAACTATTTTAACCTCAGTGTGTAGCTGGTTGGTTGCACAAAGAAGCTGGAGAATTAAATATGACTTGTAGCAGCCCTATATTGTGGATGTGCCCAAGAGCCTCGATACCGACAGGAGAACCGGTGCTCACTTGCCCGCTGCATTTGATCCAGGTGCTAAAAGCTCATTTACTGTTTTCTTGAAAGTATAAAGCAGTACTTCAGTGAAACATTTATCAGAAAAATGAAAAATAGTTGAAATATTCCAATATTTCTAAGACTCTGGCAGTCTTACAGCAGTGCCTCCCTGCCCTGAGGCTACCATTAAGAAAAACACAGTGCGCACACACACACACACACACACACACACACACACTCAGAGCAAAGATGCTTCATTCCACCTCAATAATACCCATCTCAAAATCCATTTAAGGCAGGAGCCTGCAAGGCAGGGCCGTGTGCTGAGCCTCAGACCTCCAACACCAACATTGCAGAAATTGTCTATGTTGTCCGAAGCGAATGCCAAGAATGGCTTCCTCTGCATCCTGATATAGGCACAACAACTGAAGATTAGGAAATTTAAACATTACGGAAAGACACAAATCACCGATCTAATCTATTTAATGTAATACTGAAAGTGGGTGTACAGTGGTGCAAAAGTAATTTTCAGAATGGAATGGATGAAGCAGGAATGACTCATTGCACACGATACAAACGACCCTTTTATTAATCCTGATGTATAAAGGTCTTTTTACAGTTAATATTGTTACAATACAATTCTCACTAATGCTTTCATACAGAACCACGAAAAAATGCTCGACATCGCTATTATAATAATAGCATCAATTCCACTTTCATGCAGCACTCAAATCAGGTCGTTATTATCCAACGGCCACTAATCTTTCCATTCTACAACAACTCATTGCTCTACACGCAAACCAATTCCTTTCCTGGGAACACAGCTTTTGTCGGACAGCCCTCCTCTTGTTTCAGCCCATCTCCATATTTTTCTGGAACTACCATTTCTTGTACATTATACATTCAAATACACTAAAAACAGCAAGTATAGGAAACAGGTAACTCTTTGTGCTATACCTGCAAATCAGGTTGTAATTCTGACAGTATTCACCTTAAAAAGCTGAGTAATCTCATATGATAATTCTTATTTTAAAACAAAACTGAGTGTAACTTGTATCTTGTGTGATACTAAAGTACTTCACCTGCTCATGCACACAATGATTTACCATTTCTGCTTGTTTTTATTTCACTCAATTCTCTGTCAACAGCTGAAGCGACAGAGGCTTCTCATAAACAACTGAGTATTTAAGCTTTGAGACCACCTGCCCTGTGAAAAGAATAAGAAACCCTTTGTGCATATATAATCGAATTACTAGACCCTATTTTATAATCTTTAGCAATAACAAACTCCAGACTCCCCTGTTTTCAAAAATGTTAACCTAAACTCTGAGCTTTCCTAAGCTGTTATTAGATCATGCAGCCAGGTTCCCAAAGGTAATTACAAACACTAACTTTGAGAGAAAAAGTCTTATTTGATCACCTTATTAGATGTGCTGACTATAAGGAATTTATTCATTTTTCCATTAATGTCTTATACTTGTTCCCCTCCATCCTAGAAGAATAGCCATAAATTATTTTTAAAAAATAAAATTAAAAACCACCTGAAATGACACTTCTACCTATAAAGACAGGCACATTCAAATTTCCAGAAAGAGGAAATTTGGATTTATTCCAAAAAGGAATTTCATGGCACAAAGATAAACACCAAGAATTTAAGATTCCCACTTTCTTCCAGAGATTCAGTGTAAATGGAAGAGCTGAATTTTTTTTTTTTTTTTTTTTAATCAGGTAGCAATTTCTTATTTCCTCATAAAACATATTTAAAATTAAGCATTAGTAATACAATGCTTTTAAAAACAAAGATGTCTTGCTATAACACAGAAGAATAAAATGGAAACTTGAAAATATTAAATAGCTTTCAAATTGAACCTATCATGCAAAAATACTTAATATATGTTAAAAATAGCCTGCATAGAGAACCTACTTTTGATATAATTTCTGCTTATGGCCTAAACAGAAAAATAACTCCAAGCAATTTGGAGAAAGAACCATGAATTACACTTCTGTAGACCTGCTAAGTATATTTAAGTAATATTAAATTTATTTACTGTTGTTAAGTAGTAATTGTGCTAATGTCAGCACAGTTAAACTTGAACTTGAGCGCCTAAAGAGGCACTACCCTGGGATTCACACCACTCAGTTTTTGCAAAACAATTCCCCAGAGCTAAGGAAGACCCTGTGCTCTTGCCAAGTGCCAGATTTTGGATAGATTACAGAAAGTGTCACTTTCTGGAAGAGTAGCAATGCTACACCTGGCATACTAATACCAAAAAGAAAAGAAATTCATAACCCTATACTTTGCAAGTAAAATGTGTTATATCCAAGTTGGGATAGGGGGAATAAAGCCTGCACATTTTTGATAAAGTTGAGCACTTTAACTTTAAAATCAAAAAAAGTGCAGATTCATTCCCAAACATTAGGACAAACTGTATTACTGGGTTACAGAAAATCTTAAATATTTCTGAAGCCTTGGTTTCAATGTAGGTAGGATTAGTTTACTCAGTTTTAGTAGCTAAATATTACTTTTCCTAAACTTCCTTTCATGTCTGAATCCCATAAATCACTTCTTGCTTCTGGCTTCCAACTGTTGTATCATGTTATGCTGCCTGGGTACACAGCTGCTGCACCGCACACTTGAGGCAGATGCACTAAAATAGGTAGGAGAGACACATATTTTTGTAACTACTAGAATTTCCTCCAGTGTCAAAGACTAGATGAACGTCTCATAAATCTCAGATAGTGTTTCAGTAAAATATCAGATAGTGTTACTGTACACAAGAATGACTCCCTGGAGATGTGTGAAAAATGACTCCATTTGCTTTTGCTGAAGTTCACTGTATAAACTCAATGACTGATGCAAACTAACACTCCTCCACTTGTCATCTTTGTCATAAAGCTCGGGAGCTAGAAGAGGGAGGAAGGCAATACAAAGCTGCCCATTTATTCCAGCTATACATTTTTGGAAACCAGTCTGACAGCATATGCCCTCCATGAATTCTGCTATGGCAGGTGTCCTCCATCCTCATATGAAAGAGCAGCAAAAGCTTCATGTTTACAAAAAATAAACCTCCAAAAAACATTGCTCAGTTTGAGTTATTAATCTGATTCATCAATAATGGGATAGAAACTTAGTGGTTTAGCACCTCATTTCCTTCAATTTTTATTATAAAAGCTTAGGTGAGAGGGCACTCAAGCTCAACACATACAAGAGGCACTGTGCCACTCTTCTGATATGCCAAGAAATATGTGCAAGAAGCCTGCACTTGCCTTCTCATATTCAGAACTCCTGATAATGGAAAGCGCTAACGATGACTCTAGAGCCCACAGGTATCTGACAAGTATATACAGCAAAAATGAATTACAGGTCTTCAAAAACAGACAGAGAAAGAAAAAAGACTTAAAGACATAATACTTTAAAATTAACCTATTAAGAAGTGACTTGACTACCTATTCTTCAAGAGCCATTAATAATACAGAATGAAAAATATCAACACTATGCATAACAGCATGCACACTCATACACTGAGAAGATTAAAAAAACCTACTACAGTCAATTAAGTAATTTAGGCTATAAAGCACATTATGTCCATCAATTTGTAAATTTGGGGATATATATGTTTGGATTTTGTTTTAAATATTTGGTGCTTCCAGATTGAATGAAAGCTAAATGAAACCTAAAATAAACAAAAGCAACTGAAAATCCCACTTCCAACAAATGACATATTCTGCTAAAAATGCAGCTATGTACAAACACATTATTAAGACAAACCACCTCTTTTGCAAACTGCACAGTTTTGTACATATCTTGGTAATACCAAAGATTAACCAGAGACCCACGTGTCCCCTGGAATCCCTTGTGTTAATACAGTGCTTACCTAGTGACAGTTTCAAGGCCAGAGGCACAAAGATAACTGTTTCCAGCTCAGTGCTTTTGGGCCTGCTCCAGTTTGCCAACCAAAAATGCCAAAATGCCTTACATTTTGCCCTCTTTTGAAAAGCTTTGCTTGCAATTACTGTTTTTGCAAGATAAGTTGCAAGCCCAATGCTAATTTTAACATTGTTAAAACCACTCTCATTGGACTGAGTTGTATCTGCTTTAAAAGTAAAAAGATTCTTTCCATTGTACAAAGGGTTGTTCTTTCAAATTCTTCTTGTACTGTTTTATCAAAAGTCTTGAAGAGGAGAGAATGACACTGTTCTTAATTGATTAATCATATTAGATCTTTAAACACATTTTTGGTATGTCTATGCTTTCAGAAGAAAGTTATACTTTAAGTATGAGTTATGTCAAGATTACCAGCACAAAAAAGACAGAAACACAAGGTAAAGACACCTGACCTTCCCTGACTGTACCTCAGAACACACAGCCTGTGTTCTGCTTCAAAAGCCAGTGCAGGGGTATTTCAGAAAAATCCAGCACTAAGCAGCACAGGCGTACAAAATGCAGCATGCAGCATAAATAGAAAGCATTAATAAAGACATCTTAAAATGCTCTTCCTTCCAATGTATGTGGATAATTAAAATTTCAGAGTCTATTTTCCACATAAAGTCACAACTACTGAGAGAGTTCATTCTGCCAAGCTGTCAATGCATGGATTTCTAGAGACAAGCTGGAAAATCTTTTACTGTGGGTAGGAAACCTTTTAGTATATTTTTCTATTTAATAGCCCTGTATTTCTACAAACAACATTTTCCCACTCCCAGATTTTATTCTCTGAAATGAGAGATAGTCACTACTCAGACTTACAAGCTGGTTTGATTTAAAGAAGTGGATAAAGAGTCTTTTTATTTGTCCTCCTGTAAATTGGTCAGGATTCTGAGGTGACTGCATTATGCTCCAAAAAAAACCAAACTGCATACTGCAATCAAAACTGTGAACTGAGAAGGCAATACCTACCTTTCTATATGGGTAAGGCACTTACCTTTCTATGTAATGTCCTACTAAAATCCTACTAAAAGAGGTGCTCATGGAAAGTTACTCATAGAATAAAAAGTCCATGAATAATTTTTCACAAAACTGTAATACTGCAGCTCATGAAAGGCTTATAGATGTCTGGATCACTGGGAATGCTAAATACTTATCTTCTATAAACATGGGAGAGAAGAACAGACTTACTAAAGATGATGAAAGCTACCAGAGCTCCAAGGGACTTAGAACAAGTGCTACTTCATGCCAGGATCAAAATAAACTGTGATACTTGTAAAGTGCAAAACAATCAGATTTTTATCCTGCAGACTCCAGAGAAAAGCCTAAGCTTTCCTTTCTACCCAAGCAGTTAATAAAGTAAAAGACTATCACTAAAGACCACTGAAGCATCACTTCTTAGGTTACTATGTGAGCTAATGAGTTTCATGAATGGCCATAAATCCTTAAGTGACATATGCTGCCTTCTTAAAAGGCCATGAAGAGAGCCCCCAAACGTTCCCAATTACATTAGGAGCTTCCTTTTTAATAATGCATGCAAAAGATACAAACCTTCTCCTTCAGTCACTTCAGCACGATCTGGCTTTGTTTCTTTGTGCTGTCCTTCTGCCACTTTCACTGCCACCGCTCTGCAAATTGCTCCCAGTTTCCGATCCAGAGAGCGGACTCCTGCCTCCCTAGTGTACCTAGCACAAACGCAATCATTTTACAGGGAGACAAAGAGCAGTGTTCTTTTTAATAACAGAGATGTCTTTTGAATCTAATACTTTCTTTGAAAAATATGCATACAAATAAAATGAAATGTCAAAAGCTGTAAGGCCTTGGATTGCTCTGTTAAATGGGAAAAAAAATCATGTGCTAATATCAAACTAACTGTTATTTGTTGATTAAACTGTGAAGAAAAATCGAACTACTGACTCAGGAGATGACACTACTGACATCTGGAGACAAAACTTAGGGAAAAACTAAATAATGCTCTGAATACACTGAACTCCTCTCATGTGAATTAAAAAAATCATATTAGGAAGGGTTTTTTTTTTAATTCAAAATTTAATTCATTGAAAGCAGAGAAACTGACTGGAAAAATATATTTCCCTTCAATCTATGAGTTAAAAAGAAATACTAGACAATAATACTTCAAAAATGTTTTCAAAAATACTCCAATACATTGAATGCTGATGTATTTCCTTGTTTGTAAATGAATTAGTTTCAAGCCTAAAAGGGTTCTGATATCTTTTACGTCCAATTAAAAACAAAGTAGTTCCAATTAATAAAGTCCATTTTAAAACACTTCATTTTTTAATTTAATTTCAATTTTTAGACTAGTGTGGCCCACCAAGTACAAATATACAAAACTACATTCTCCATTTTTTTCTAAAATAACATACTTAAAGCTTGATTAAAATCAAGATTGTGTTATGCCAAAACCATGGATTCACACCAAATTCACTGAAGGCACTAAAGAAATTTTAGCTTGAAATGTTTCTGCCTGTTCATATTGCTTTGTCAACTGGGCCAACACAATCATCTAAGACCCACTCTTAAAATTAGATCAAGGAAACCTCAAGATAAGGAAGAATGTTTCTGTTTAGTGTAGAGAAAAGAGCTAAGAACAATGTGGAAAGACCATTCCATAAATTAAAAGCTGCTGAATTTTTGAATATATAAAGACTAAATCTGAATTTAAAGAAATGTTTCAGATTAAAAATAATTTAAGTACCAGCAAAAAGGTCATTTAAAAGCAATGAACAACTGATTTACCTGGTAATTATGTCTAAAGTGGTTACTTGTGGAATCTGAATCTGCTGTGGAGTCAGGCCATGCAGTTCAAGTTGTTTAGGAATCAAGTGTCTATGTGCAATTTCAATTTTTTCTTCCTGTGTATATCCTTCAAAAGAAAGAATGTATGTTTACTAATGATTCGGCCCATGCACTACTATATTAAATTCATAATCCACTCATAATTGTACCCAACTGAATTTAATAATCCTCCCCCTACTAAGATATCTCTAGATGCACAAAAATGACATGGACACCTAAAGTAGGATTTTAGAAGAATCTAACTAATTCCTAGATATTAACATTTACAGCAGCAACATTCTAGGTACTCAACATATTTAGCTTAGTGTCAAACCAGGTTAAAGAGTTAAGAAAGTCTGTAATTAGGATTGTATGATCAACCTCTATGTTCATTCTCTCTCTAAAGGGGACCTTAATGTGGTACCAAGAGGATTAGGCATATTCTCAATAGTTTAGAAAACTGGGTTTCACACATGCACAAAATAATAATAGAACAGAACTTTTTTTCTTTCATTCATGATGAAAGATGGATAGTTTTTATGCCTTCTAAAGTACCACCCTCCCTGGAAAGTTTTCTTAACAGTTAGGGCGCTCATTGTAAAGGAAAGAGATTTTACAGTACATTACCAAATTACTATTTAATATCAAATATGTACAAATAATCTTCGGTGCAAACCTGCTTTTCCTGCAGCCTGCTTAGTGCAACACTCACAAGACTTGCTTCTATACACGGAACTCAGCTTGGGAAACAGCTTGGGAAACTATAGTCTGAAGGAAACACTTAAAGGTACAAGCATGCCCTGCCTTTACCTCTCCACAGGTATAGTCCTGGTGGTTATTCAGAACATTGTACGAACAGCAAGAGAAGCCTTAGTCTTTGAAAACAGTCTTTCAAAAGTTTCTTCACTTAGATCTTAATAGATCTGTTAGCCACTAGCAGGTTGAAATACAAGCATATCAATTAGTGAAAAATATTACTACAGAATATATGTTATCTCCAAACATTTAGAACTGCATTTTCATAAACACAATGCTAAAAAATCTAGTAAGAGAGGATATAATGTTGGCAACCAAATAGGTGTCTTTTGAAAAGTCTGGTCATTCAGTCTAACTTTCTGTCATGTTTATCTTACAGAACTGCTTTTTACTTAACAAAAAACATCCCAACATTAAAGACGTGCAAGAGGCATTTTAATGAAGACACTTTAGTGTTACCTGGAACTTGAATGACTTCCATTCTGTCCAAAAGAGCAGGTGGGATAGTAGCTGTAGTGTTGGCTGTAGCTATAAAAAGGACTTGGGACAGATCAAAGGCTACATTTAAATAGTGATCGGTGAAACTGTGATTTTGTTCTGGATCCAAGACCTTAAAACAAGAATGAACGTGAATTGACATCCACATTTTATATATATTTTTATATATATGAATTATACATAAATCTGTCAAAACAGACTAACTGCTCTAATTTTCTCCTAAGCTACTATTAATTTTGAAATTAATATTCCATGCTATAGTCAATGTTTTGGTACAGTACTTAAAAGCACAGAGTTAATGATGCACAAGTGGGAGTCCAGAAGCTTTCAGCCACACACTGTCCAGACTGTGCTGGTCTCCAGAAAACCGGGGGCCTCCAGTTCTGCATCAAAAAGTCTTTATATCTTGAAGCTCAAACCACCTAGGGTTTTTTCAGAAGTTATTAGTAGGGTTTAATGAATTTTCTAACCAGCTTTCCTTGTGAACAGTAGCAGTATGTACCTTGCTAGAACCTCAGCACCTAATAACTGAAATAAGCTTGCAGTGCATTCATCTAAGCAACATGCAGATGCTTGATGACATGTAGCTCTATAATAGAGGGTCTATTTTCTCTTTCCATGCATTTTGCCTACTATCACAGAATTAAAAAAAAGTCCCACATTTCCTTTGCTTGGCCTTTTACTAGCAATACAGCCATAAAAGCTCTTCTCATTGTCGTTGATGTCTCTCCCTGAAGTGTCAACTCTGAGTGAGCTTTGGCTTTCCCAAAACCCTCTTTGCACCATTCCTTTTTCTCCCAAGATTTGTGATTTAAAAAACAAACACACAAACGAAATCTAATTATAAACACTGAAGAATATCAACACATACTCTGACAAATCTCAATAATTTACTACTACTGCAGGAAAAGTAAATCCATGTCTTAAAAACAGTATTGTCTTTCTATTGCTGTTATTACTATTTATAACTACTTGCATATATTTGAGCTGTTTCTCTGAAGGAGCTGTTTTTCACTATCAGTATTTACAAGAATCATGACTGCATTAAGTTGCCTCCCCCTAGTTTTGAAATAGAGCCAAAAAATGGAGGTTCATTGTATACTGTATTCTACACTTGGCCTCTATACCAGCACCTGTGTACCCACCTTAATTCTATCTCTTCCCTTAAATTACTGTCATGCTTTTCTTCCCACATGATGAATTATCTATGATATGCTGACATGAATAATTCTCATGTTACAAATAATGGGACCTAAGCATCTCCTGAGAAACAGCACACTGCTGTCAAAATAATTTATATGCTTATATCCCATGAATATACCCCTTGTCCTAGCAGCTTGAATCATAGCCAAGAACAGTGTTGATAATTCTAAAAAACTTTGAATCCAAACAGTTGTTAGCTGACTAGAAAAGAAAAAAAAAAGATTTAATTACTCTAAATCCTACCCAATCTTTGAAAAGTTAAAAAACTTTAGAATAGAAAAGCTTAAATCAACACACAAATCTATTAAAATACTTTTTAATTGCACAGAAGAAACACAGTGGATTTTTAGTAAAATTTCTTTTTTTTTTTTTAGTAAAAGTTCAGGTTTTGAAATGTTGCAGTTTTTAAAAATAACTTTTGGAATGTTATTGTCACTGTAATGAAGTCCCACTTTCCCCTTATGGTGCAATCTTTAAGCATACTGGAGCATGTAGCTAACTTCTGAACATAAGGCTGTATCTCAGTGAACATTATTGTTCACTGGCTGCAAGTTATTCAAAAGCTTCTTTTCTTACCCTCTCTAGTAGGCAGCTGCTATCGTTTACTCTCTTCTTTATTGCTGAAAGCAAAGGCCTTGAAGTATCATGACTAGCCAAGTACACTGATGAATAATTCAATCGAGTTAGTGATATCTCTTACCTCAACTAGTCCCACAGTGTAGTGTCCTACACTACAATCACATGCAGTGCGTCAAAACACAAAGAAAGATAAACTACATCAAACATTAGTCTCATATTCAAGTCTACTTTTGCAGATTTTTCCAAGAAGACTTATACCACAAATCCTAATTGACCTTACATTTTTTTAAACTGATAGGCATCATTTGCACAAATGCCAGTCTATGAGCTCAGCCACCTATAACCTCTTCTGAAGAGGCTCTAAATTCTGCATTATACCAGACAGTTCCTTCTCTTTTTTTTTTTTTTTTTTTTTTTAAGAAAAGCTATCTGTCTCACATGCACATTAATCTCTTTCCCCTTCTAGTTTATAACAAGATTTTCTTATGAATTCCACTTAGTGCTATGCTGTTGACTACAATATTACTGTTATATAGCAAAAAGGTTGCTGTGCTCCTGTCCAAGCAGCACTATCCAATAAAGGCAATGCAAGTTGTAATCAAAACCAATTTAGACAACAGGTATGCAGAAATGTGAATCATCTGAGATTTTTTACAAGTGCTAAAATTTCTCTGGACCAGCATTTTTTGTCTTGGTAAAAAAAAAAAAAATCTTAAAATAATACAGAAAATAATATAATGCCTACTGATTTTAAACAGATTTCCAAAGCACACAGAACTGTTCTTCAGCTGGGTTGCTGCTCTAAAGTTGACATTCAAAAATTCTCCAAAGACATTCAACTAACAGAAAAACACCAAGTACAAAAAGAAAATTCAGTGAACAAAACATCTTGCTTCATTTGTGTCCAGCAGCTCACATGCCTAGAGACATCTCTGTACCAGCATTTTATTACCACAAAATCTAGAATAATTTCCATGAACACTTAATTGCCTGGCTATGCTCCTGGTCTAATTTCCCTGCATACAAATACTTGCTATCAGACACTTGGATCCATTTCTACTTTCTTCTCTTTTAAACAGAGGTCATCTAAATTTAGAATAAAACATTCCTTTGTTGATGAACAGTAACTGGAAATAGGAAGACATTCTGTTTTGCTTAAGCAACTCCACAGAAACACCATAACTAAACACACATCCAGTAAACACAAAAATCAACCCCTGCTTCATGGCTTATAGGGTATGCCAGCTTTCCTTCTGAATATAACCCACTGTGCATAGTCAGTGGGGATTTAACATACCTATATATTAGGAGAAAAGGATGTTCTATTTAAACTTAATGATGGCACTTACCAAAGCAGCAAAGGAGGTTTGGAAAACAAACTCACCAGTTAAGTGACCATGTACTATTACTTGTTCTTCTACCAGTTGACAATTAAGCATTTTATGTGCAGACATGAGTTCTCCATTAGAAGAGGTAAAGCATCTGCTTCAGGATGTTTACAGACAGGAGTAGAGGTATACAGAGATCTCACATAGGAACAGCACCCAGACATGGTTACTAAAGCAATTACTTCTCCAGATGCAACTAATGGCCAATTAGCAGTAATTTGCACAGGGACTGTGGCCCAAGCAGACAGCTGGGAGCTGACCTGAAGAGCCTCAGCTGGAATAATCCATGGCAGGAACAGAATTCAATGTCACTGAGAAAACGGTTTTAAAATGCAAAAAAATAGAATCATTTCAAAGAACAGCAAAGTATCAGCAACTCGCACACAAAGTAATTCACTGATAAATTCATTGTATTTGCCCTCCCATGCCTAGCATGATAGGAAAAGGATGAAATGCTAATCTCTGCTTCAGTATAAGCAATGAAAAATAACCAAATATAAACAGCAGAGGTAGAATATAATTAACAACATTAATGAATGGTTTCACGATAAAAACATTCCCTCTCCCCACCCAGTGATTTTCCTACCAAGGAACGCCAAATTGTTGCTTCATCGCTGATTTTGCTCATCTCATAAACAACAGCCAGCTCACTAACAAAACACAATGTTTTGAATAGTTTTTACCATGCATCGACTAGATTAAGGCCAGTTTAGTTTGATAGTTAAGGGAGAAATTTCTGAAGAAATACCAGCAAACTTGGAAACAGATCCAGTTACCATTAGCAGCAAAGAATAAAAGCCTGCAAGAAATGGGAAGTACATATAGAAAAAAAAAAAATGCATTTGAATATCTGTTACACAATCCTGCTTGTTTTCCTTCTCCTTGGAGGCTTTTCATGCATTCTAGGAATGCGTACCACACACTTGAGAAATACAAAGCTATAGCATCATAATTATCATTTTTAAAAGTTAAGAAGAAAATCTAAGGTATTTTTCAGTAAATATACACTATCTATAGTGTATATACACCGTATTTTGCAGTATCTAACAGAAGGACTATATGGACATTTGTAGAAAGTCATAGAATAGGTGAGTTCATGACATTAAAAATAAAGAATCACTTTGAGTAGGAATTTTCATATTCAAAGCACTGTATTAAGCAATACAGGCAATACCGGTTCCAAAGATTCATTAAAATGACTGTATGCAAATGTTACCAGAGTCATTTACTTTCATTCCCACCCACACCCTCCAGCTACAGCAGTTACCAAACCTTAGCCTGTCAAATGAGATGATTCTAGGATTATTCCCTCAATTATTTCAGTGAAAGAGCCAGTATGGAATGATCACAAAAGCAGGTCAGCTAAAACAATGACAATATATCAGCCTCTTACAGACTGACAGAACACATGAGAGTGGTAAAAAGTAACACCATAGCAGCATAATGAAATTCTAGACACACACAAAAGCAAAATCATTAATGGCACTAGTCCTACATTTGGTGTGTCAGTCCCAAGTGTTTCAGTGTAGCCCAGCCTAACTGTGCCTTCACCTTTCCAATCCTCCACTCTGCCCTTCAGCAATTCCAGGAGGGCAAGATGCACCCGGCCTTCGGCACTGACAGTGGCTGGAAAAAGGCCATGTTCTGTTTCACTCCTATAGCCGCAGAGATGCTCCCTTTACTTTCCAGCAAACTGCTGGAAAGAAACTGCTGCAAATGTAAATCAGTGTGTCCCAGCTGTGGAGAAAGCAACCATACTGGCTTAGTCTCCTATCTTATACTCCACAGACAAAGGCAGGAAGAAGGTTCTGGCAGCTCACTGCTTGTTCTACTGCAAACTCTGTCCACAAGCCATACATCTTGATTCATCTTCATCATAATCTGCCAGTTGTAGCATCCTGAAATCTCCGCAACTAATCTCATTAATAACTTTTCTACAGCTAATGGATCTACCAAAAATTTCAAAATATCCCCTTCATAAAAGTCCTTATTCACATCTCTTAGATTTTGTGTCTTTAAGCAAGTCAGCTTTCACATCTCTATACACCCTATGACAAAATAACTGTATAATATACTTTAAAATTAGATTCATTTTTATCTTGATTTGAGTCCCAGAACTGAAGTAAAAAGAACACATACACATGCATTTAATAGCTGACTCTCATGGAAAACAAATGTATAATTATGCAGATCATAATTAGTCACAAACTGAGTTTTGGGGACTTAAATGATAACTTTAAGTGCAAAAGGTTAATTACAACATTAAAAAATACTAATAAAGGATGCACAACTAGCCCGTATTTATACACTTGTGGCATATGCCTGTGCCATCAAGAGCCTTCAAAAAAAAAAAAGATAAGAAATATTTGAAAAAGTCCAGGTACCTTCAGGATTGTTTACAATTCTTAGCTGTTATTTTAACAAAAAAGCTGTCTTTCCTCAAGTGATATCCTCCTTTCTGAGTGCAATACTTCAAGCTTTTAGTTGGGAAAAAAAAAAAAAAAAAAAAAAAAAAACACAGCTTGCAATTTAACACTTCTTACCTCGAGCAAGGCAGCTGCTGGATCGCCCTGTAAGCTCTTCCCCAGCTTATCAACCTCATCGAGCAGGAACACCGGATTGTTAACCCCAACAGTCTTCAGTCCATTGATGATTCTACCCGGCATGCTGCCAACGTAGGTGCGTCTGTGGGAACGGAGCACGTGGAGAAAATAAGTTGACATATGAAATAGGAGTACAAACAATAAAAATAAAACACAAAGGAAAACTTAGGTATCAGCAGTCTTGTAACAAATCCTGTTTTTTTCCAAAAACTTCTGCAACTAGTAGATAAAAGTACTGAATATGCATTAGAACTAACACAACTGATTATATTAACAGGTGGAAATTCCAGTTCCCTAGAGCATCAGTTGGTCCAGGAAGAAAAACCGCATACATATAACAGTGCATACGTGCATTATGGCTTACAGGCATTTCACAGGATTTAGTATAACCATCTTTGAACTGTACAAACAAGCATAAGCACATTCGGGAACCTCATCAATACCAACACTTAAGAATAGTGATATTGTTTTTCATCTTTTCAACAGAGTTCACCCAGTGTTTTAAAAATCTGGGAAAAATTCCAAATATACTGAACTGTTGATGCCTATCGTATGTGCCACATGCTTTAACTGGCAATCATAAAGAAAAAATCTTATTTATCGTGTCATTTCAACAATCGAATAAAACCTGGAACAGCACAACAGAACAAGAAATTATCAGTTCAAATTTATTTAGCAAAGATGGTAAAACTCCCTGACCCCCACTACTCCCAACACACATAGACAACCAGGATATACATACGTATATACCATTTGATGAATTTACCATAGTCTTTTCTGCTTGTGCAATAAGTAAACAAAACAGTGTGAGTATTTAAAAGTATGAAATGCTGGTCAGTCAGAGACACATGAAGTACTTGGTTACAAGTGCGTATCTCATGACCCTCACAAAGCAGAAATGCAGAACAGGCCTCCTCTGCTGTATGATCTGTTTCAATGCAGTCCAAAATAAACAGGATGGCATTTAGAAAGATGAAACCAAAAATACCGTGGGAGTAATTTCAAAAGATTCTAGGGAAGATTTAAAACAAGAAAATAACTCATAATATGGAGCAATGTTAGTTTTGTGTAATATTTAACTACTGAGGGAACAAATGCAGTTACTGTATTTAACTGCAGATTTGAGTAAAATCAAGTTTTTAGTATATTTTAATAGCTAGATAGAAATAGCTAGAAATGCAATATAATTTCAATTTGCCTATTACCACCTCCATGAGGCAGCTGTTAAAAGACTGACCAAGCAGCATGAAATAGTTTATCACCTCCCAGCTTTTGGGTAACCTCTTTTCCTGCAGTGAGAGAGTAGGTCCATCTCCACTGAGTGTACACCACATGACATCTACTGCAGGTCAAGAATCTGCATGGGGGAACTATTATAACTAGCAAGTCACTTCTTTCTCCACCTGCACACAGTCAACCTTACCAAAAGAATTAAAGCATCCTAGAAAGCACTGACAGAAAATTAGGAACTCAAAGCAGAGGCTCATTTGTCAGTGGAATTAAGTTAATCATTTTAGCTTTTTTTTTTTTAAAAAAAAAAAAAAAAAGGTGCTTATTGCACCAGGAGATAAAGTTTATATACTTCACAGACAATGCAACAAGAACATTTTTTTTAACATGGTATTTATCCCAGAAGTGGGATAACATATTTAGAAATCTTGATCCTTTTTTTCTCATGCACATGCTTACATTAATAAGATATGAAAGGATGTCTTATTTTTATTTTTATAAAGTAAATTACAGATTTATTGGTGTTATGTGTACATATATAAAATCTTAGTTGAGCACTGTAAATTCCATAAAAATTGCAGATACCTATGTACCATCCAGTTACAAAATAAACAAAAAGTTTGAAAAAATACAATTTTAAGAATATCAAAATCAGTGACTTCTAAAGCAAGAATGAAAAATATTCCAACATTATAGAAAATCATTAAATGCAAATGCTAAAACCAAAAATCTTTATCCAAAATATGCTTTGTGTTATGATCTACCATGTGAAAAAAAACACCTATCAGACTGAACCGAGACCAGCATTGTCAAAAGGTTACCTGTGCAAACAATGAATTCTTCAAGAAAATGGAAAAAAAAAACAGAGAATTATTGCAGGTAACACACATTTTTTTTTTCTGCAAAAAAAATTTCAGTTTCCACAGAAATGAAGTTAAAAGAAAATATGCACAGTGACTAGAAATAGTCTATTTTTCATTTCATCACAACTGACTGTTCTCACTCTTCCTTTGCTTGCACTTTCTTCTTCTCAGTTGCATTTTAAAAAATCTCAAGACACGTTAAATTTAAATAACTGACTCCAACATGTTTAATTAATGCATCAAATTTCTAATTAAAGCAAGCCTAAACGTATTTATACAATTTGATCAGTAATCATGAAATACAAACTAACGCTATAAATTTTATAAGAAATATCTAGATATTAATTCATTCTTCTCATTTATAACAGTCTAAATCTATGGTTTAGATCCATCCATTTAGAGATGGAACAGGACCTATTTAAATACAATATCTATTAAAGATCCAAAATTTTCAAGGCATGTCAGAAATGCTAGGGCAAATGTCATCTGCAGAATTATAAAAAACAATAGCATAGTATTTTATTTTAAAAATATAAACACAGATGGCTCCTTTCTACTCTAAGTGGTTTTTATGGAGCCATCTATAAGACATCCATAAAACAGACTCTACAGATATGTGCATTAAAATAAAATAAAATTACATGCAGATATGAGCATTAACCTCTGCTTTGTAATTTCTAAAACTGAACAATGCTATTTGTGAACAGTAGCCACTGACTGCAAGGATATTATTTTCCTCAATTAGACGGTTAAAAGGACAAAAAGCTGATATCCTTCAATCGTAGTGGTTTTCAAACTGTACTTGGCAGATTTGCCAGGAACTAGGAAGAGTTAACAAAATCAATATCACCAAAAAATCCTATTTCTAAACTTATTTGCACAAGTTCCCAATTTTGACAGGTTTCACCGACTCAAGCGAAACCTAGAGTTTCACTAGCCTTTAGAAGCCTATCTATGCTTTGTACTCATGTAACAAAATCATTCCTTGCAAGTGAAACTGTTTCGAGATTTGTTTCTTCCAGCACTGTGCTACAGTAGCACCAAGCTGGCCCTAAGAATTCCTGCTAGCGCAGCACTACCAGTCAGGAATCTCACTCGTTATACTCGGATGCACCCAAAAATGCTTTCAGACCTGGAGAAGACTATTCAGATTTCTGCTAGTTGAATAGTGATGTAATACAACAGTATTTCACACAGAAGGCAGTATGAGGAAAAAAAAAAAAAAAAACGCACAGAAATCAGTAAGCCTTATGGTGATCTCACTAGCACCACTAAAAATAACGAGCAACTACATTCTTCTTTTTAAAAATAGAAAATGACACACATGCAAGAGAAAGATCACACAGTTCCTGTATAAGACAATATATCAGCACTGAAAAGATCTGAAAAATAGGGAGCTTCTTAGAAAAAAAGTTCAGCAAGTCCTTCAGGATGCTTTATTTTTCTTCATAACCATCAAATGCAAAGCAGCAGAGTTTTACAGATGGTACAGATGAGTGGTAAACATTAACAGCAGCTGGAGGATGTCTGCTAAAACACTTCTGTTTTTGTACTGAGGTGACAACTGTATTTGGGAACAGAACAGTGGTTGCTAGTCTTCACTCAGTCAAGAAAGGAATCACGTGAACTCCAGCTGCAGACACATGATCCACAAAACCTGGGCACTTCCAGACTGCCCTGGTTACCCCTCGCAGCACACAGGGCAGTGCACTTGCTGAAACACCACCCTGCTCATTGCCGACTTGCTGAAACACCACCCTGCTCAGTGCTGCAAGCTGCTGTATTGCTTTCTGTACCTACCTTTCACCTACAGCAGTAGTAAGTGGCCAAACAGAGTAAACACTATTATAGTGCTAGTCTTGCTTTCAGCTGAAACTGAGCCAGTTTCTTCTTAAATGTTTTAGTACATTAGGCCTCTAGCAACATACCATCGTATTTCTGCAACATTAATGGAAGCTACTTTAACTTCAGCCTAATGCAGGGCTTCTTGCTTACTTTCTCTGAAGAGAAAAAGAATGGCTCATAATACATGTCAGAAAATATGCTCTCTTACAGTATAACTCAGAGAAGAACAATCGATATGTCCAAAACCTTCACATCACTTCTATGATTCCTTTCTGTGACTGCCATAGGAAGCACAATATGGATTCACTTGGAATCAACTTGGAGGATCTACTCATTCAAAACAACATCACAGAAAGGTTTATAGAAAAACTCTAATTCCAAACTTAATTACATCTGATTTTGAAGAGAAAAGCAGAAAAAAAATAGAACAGATTTTTAAAATTGTTAAATTATTGCTCTTAATTTTACATACACAAATCCTGCAAAAACAGTCGGCTACAAAGGGATGAATAATGCCTTCTCCTCTTAACTGCTACGAATTTTAGTTTCAGTCTTAAGCTATACACTTCCCTGTTTCCTGAACAGTTTTCATATGAAACTCTTAATTATATTAGATGGTATTTTTCCTGATGAAAAATATATTCCAAAAGCATCTACAGTCAGCTAATTGTAAGCTAAAAGCTTTTGATGTTAAATCTGTAAGGCAATTTAACTTCCAGCATGCATTTACAGTTTAACAAAGCACCAAAAAAAGCCACTTTAATGACCGTCACAATCTAAAAGCTTTTTCACTTTTACGTAACTCCGGTTGTCTTTATAAAAACTAAGTGCAAAATAGCCAAAAATAAAATAAGGAAAACAATAAGGAATTGGTGGCAACTCCACAGAAGCTGCTAACAGATTTCCTTCTGTTTATAATGTCTCTTTTACAGCCATGGCCTCCCTATCAGAAAGACGAAAGTCCAACTCCTCCCTGGAAAACTTACTTATGTCTTAAGTGCTGTAATGCTTAGCATTCAACAGCCTCTTGTGGCTTCAGTTTGAATAGCAACATCTTGAATCTCCTTTTACATAGTTTCCAGGATCCAAATTACAAGTAATTTGAAACATTAGAATTACTATATATTAAACAATTAACAGTGGTTAATGGCTAGCAATACAGTTTCTGAATAGTTTCTGGATACCAAGAATAACACATACTGAAGAAGGAGAACATAGTTTTCTTTAACATTCCAACAGTGCTTAAGAAAGGGAGGCAAAAAGAGCACATATTAAAGGTTTATAAAACCATCAGTATCACAGCATTGTTGTATGGATACATTAAAAATGCATTAAAATAAAATTGTTTAATGTTGACATAACCTATTCTAAGAAAATACTTCAAAAAGTTCCTCTCAAGCTAAAATGTAAAGGTGACAAGAACTCTCTGGAGTCCCTGGAACAAAAGTTCCTGTAAATCTGCAACAGAAAAATCTACATAGGAATAAATGCATATTTCTCATTCTTTCAAGCACGCCTAAGCAAAGGTTTACTACTCAATTCTGAATTTTCAAGAGGCCATCAAGTACATAATCACCATTTCCTCACTTATTCTTATCTAATAAATTCTAGTAAGTGATCAATTGTATATTTTGGTCTACATATCCCTAGAATGCCTGAAGTTTAGGCATAGCTTGAGCGTCACACAATATAGCAAGTCTCATGCATTTCTCCTAGTCTCAGTTGTCAGTTTTGTCCCTCTAACGTGTTGACACATGCAATTAGCTTATGCATTTGGAAGTTCTTGAAAAAGAAAAAAAAGTCAAACTGCATTATCTGGAATAGAAGCAAGAAATTATGCTGCACACTGCTGAAAACAGTCATAGTTCCTGGAAAGATAACTGGACATCAGAGAAAAAAACAACAGCTTTAGTTGCAAGAATTTGCTAACTTTTGCAAGGGGAAATTTTACTCAATAACACAACTTCAAATAATAAGATGCTCTTACAGATTCTTAGAGTACTATCAAGTTAATTATCCCAAACCTCCTATACTAACTGTTGGAAACATAAATAGTGATTACTGGAACTAAAAATTATAAGTAGGAGAGAAAGAAACAGTTACCTGTGGCCTCGAATATCAGACTGATCACAGACGCCTCCTAGAGCAATTCTGTGGAATTCTCGACCCAAAGTCTTGGCAATAGATCTTCCAACACTAGTTTTACCGACTCCCGGGGGACCCACAAAACAAAGAATAGGTCCCTTAAGGTTGTTTTTAAGCTGCCTGACAGCTAAGTACTCCAAAACTCTCTTCTTCAGCTTCTCCATGGCATAATGATCATTATCCAAAAGAATTCGAGCTGCACGAATTTCAAGGCGATCTATCGAACATTGACAACAGAAAAAACAAAAGAACATTTATCTTTAAGACATAAACAATATGCTCTGCAGTATGAAAGATACCAATACATTCTCAAGCACGTTGAATAACAGAAAATTCATTTTTTAAATGAATCACTGAACAAAAAACATCATCAAAGTTCCCAACTTTCTGGCCTCTAGTCTATTAACGTATATTTTTACTTACTGTACCTAAGTCCAAAGCACCTCATCTACACATGCAAATAGCAATCTTCCAACTTTGCTGAAAGTAATAATCCTCAAATCATCTATGATATGGAATAACTCTGCAAGCTTAAAAGCCAGCTTTCATGAATGAAACATTCTACCAGTACACTACAGTTTTGGCCATAAAAGTCAAGAAACTCTTCACTCATTTTGTGGTTCTTTGAATATACTGACCTCTGTAGGCCAATTCTTTTACAACCTTATGCTTAACAAAAATATTTACAAGAATATTTGTAAACATCCACGTTTCTATTTTAAAAAGGCTGAAATTCATCAACACATATACTAACAAGGCAAAAATTAGAAATGCTTTTGCTGGTATGCTACAGTAAATCACTTTTAAAAATCAGCTCGTTATAAATGCTGTTCAAAAGCCTCAGTCTTCAATAATTGTTAACGGTAATTAGAAATCCTTTTTTTTCTCATTATTTTTAAGAAAAACTAAATTTAATGCTAAATTTATTGCACCTCTCCCCAATAGCTTACACTAATTATTCTACATTCTGTATTTCCAAATGCATGTCATAAATGTAACTTCTGAATGCTGTGATCCTAACAGATTGCACAGTGACGTCTCAGTGAGCACCATGAACTTTGAACCTGTTTGCAGTGAGACATGAAAAACAAAGCAAGTCCCAACAGAAACCAGAGTACTGCCAGTGTGGAGACTAACAAAAGTAAAATGCAAGTATTATTCCTGTTTTCTAATTCTTCTTCAGTGAGAAAAATCTACAGACGAAATCCATCGTTTTGAAGAAATTGATTAATAGTGTTTTGCTATACACTATTATACACTACATCTTGCCCACACACACACACATATATATATATACACACAATACTAGCACAGATCGTAGTAATAACACCTTCATTTTTCTTTGTAGATATTCCTAAGACTTTTTTTAATTCACATTTTTACGTGTACAACTGAGTCAGCTATCCAGTAGATCTTATTTTAAACCTGGGAGACCCTAAGACCTTAGTAATGTATTGATGACAATTTTACTATCAAGACTAGGAAACAAAAATTTGTGACAGGTGTTCGTATGGTAGGTTCTTGTATTAAAATGTCTGTGCAAAAGACAGCCAACCACTTATATCACCTTTAGTACTCTTGTTCCATGGCAATTCCACCATCAGCTCCAAGTAATTTCTGGTCAAAGCATATTCTGGCATTGACTGAGGCATTTTCTTTAATCTAGAAATACATGGACAAAATACATTAGCTATGCAGAAATTAACTGCAAAGTAACATCTCACCTCTACTACAAGACAGATATTTAAAGTAAATCAAGCTCACACAAAGGATTATCTCCCTGCATGCACAGTATCTATGTACTTTCACTGATTAAGAAACATCATATCGCAGACAGTACACTCATTTCCCTTATCAGGAAAAAACATGGAGAAAAAAAAAGGAAGACTCAAGAGATCTCTGAATGAGAAATATTTGGATTGTTTTATACATTTATTGCTAACAATTGAGATTTGTTTGCCCTTTTTTGAGGTCTTTCCTTCATAATACAGAGAGACTACAGTTTAATGTTATATTAACTTCTAAATCTTGGAAGCCTTGTATTTCATGTCATAGACATGAAGTGATGAAATTTGTATAGAAAGAGAGTCACTCTACTAAAATTTATGAATTATTTCCCAGACAAAAATCAAGAAAAATGCAGTATCAAAGAAAAAAAGATGTAATGTATTTTTCTCAAAAAATAAAATCTTCTTGAAATCTCCTTGATTCTACTTGAATCTACTTGAAAATCTCCTACCTCTTTATTTCCTTAAGACAAACTTTAAGAGCTTGTTCTGACATACTGGATGTTCTAATCTTTTTTTCCAGCATGACAACATCATCATGATCTCCTTCTTCATCCTCATCTTCTGTAGCACTTGGAATGTGATTGATTCTTCTAATAGGACGAATAGCTACGATCTATAACACAGAAAACCGAACCACAGAATAGCACCTTTTTTTTTTTTTTTTTTTTTTTTTTTTTTTTTTATAATAAGACATGCTTTTTTCTTTGTTCAGAAACCAGGAGAAAAACATGCAAGGTACTGAGAGTGTCTTTTTGGTCTCCTTTGCAGTAAAAGACAGATAATAAGATGATAATCTTCTAAACTTTATTAAAAAAAAATAAGAATTATTCACAGCATTTTAAAAGGCTTGGACCTGGAACCTATCATATTAAACAGGGTAAACAAAATCTTTACAAACAAAAAAAAGAATCACCTTTCCTTTTTTATTTCTTGGTTACTTCTTTAGTAAACATGCAACATAAGACTGGGTTGCTAGACTTCAACAGACTACATATTTCACACTACTTATTTTTTAGATGTTATTTCAAAAGCTGTCATACGCTTGCAATGACGTTAATGAAAGGTACATCTTTCACTATCATATTCTGCGCAGGTCAAAATTCAGTCTGCACACAGAATGCAGATAAACTAGGAAATGATTCATTAAAAGAATATGAGGGTTTAAAAAAAAAAGATTAAAAAGTCTAACACCTATCCATACAGTTTAGATATGCAAATTAAAATTGTTAACTAGGTGTTCTCTGCAGCACCAGACTGACTATGAAACCTTATGACTGCAGATTAGACCTTTATGCACATTAAAGTCATATACATTTATTGGTCTGTTTAAAAGCGCACCTTTATACTTATTTAGGATATTTAAGAATCCCACATTTAAAGGTCCATACCCTTTTATCATCATCCTGTTTGGGCTTTCTTGTTTTCTGAAGCAGCTTCAGGCCTTCAATTTGTCTAACAAGCAATGGTATAGTCATCTTGAACCGTTCTTCCAGCCTAACAGCATCTAAAATCTAAGAGGAAGGAGTTATGAGTAGCCAGTATTTTCAGGCTAATAGTTCACCAACTTTGGAAAGGCAGAGAGTTCTATTACCATATTTTGGCAGAGCTATAGGATAGGTGGTTTGCAAAAAAAGTAGTAGTAAGAAAAGGCAAAGATAATATAGTACACAAAAAAATAACCTCAAGTTTACGATATTACTTCAGGATTTGTACACCTGTTGCCAAAAAAAACCAAAAATTGCACAACTGCAATCTACCAAGTAAACAGGGAAAACCTTTTAGAAAAAAGCAAATAAAAAACTTCAAAAAGTGGTATGAGAGCACAGTTTCTCATCTATTGTATGTTGACCATTTTCCATCAGCAAAGAAAAACACAGTATGTTACATTTACTCTAAGAAATTCCTTTAATGAAAGAAAAAATCTCAAGATTTTTCCCCGGTCCCGAGAGATTATATGAAATTTGAAGACTAGATACCCTTGATTTGTTAGCCTGAACATGCTTTGAAAAGTAGGAGGAAATTTGGATTTCAAAACTACAAAGTACCCCAAAAGAATTTCTTATCCTGTGTCTTTTTAAAGTGTCTTTTTATTTCAACTGCAATTTCTGTGACAAGCATCTGTCACTATTTTATTCCTCAGTTATTAAACCTCAGAGAAGAAACAGAAGAAACAATTGTACTTTATTCTACTCTCATGATTAATCATGCCGAAATATGGAAATAAGTAGAATCTGGCTGCCTCTTTTTCACAGTTTCTATTGGCTGCTCTGCTCTTCATCACTTCAAATCCAAAATTGGACATGCTAAGTTTGCTTTTTAACTGATTTTAGGTGAATGATGTACCTTTTTCCAGAATGAGATTCACCTCCAATACACACTTCACTTAAAATCACTGCACTCATTTCTATTTGATGTTTTTTGAAAGAACTTAAGTTATACTTTCAATTTGAGTGTGCAGCACTGGCAGCAGCAACAACAAAAAAAGCACTAAAACTTCCAAGCAAATGAATATAGAAATCAGGCAATTAAGCAGCAAAACCACAAGCACAATTTTACCATATAACCTTATTCTGACATATAATAAAACTACAGTGCCTTTGTGTTAAAAAAAAAAGGAAAAATAAAGCAAAAAATATTTAAAAAATAAAGTTTAAGATGAAAATATAACTGAATCAGGAGCTGTTTCAGGAACTTATCCAAGTACTCTTGAATAAGCAAGAGATCATTATAATTTGAAAGAAGATTTATCAATTTCTTCACCACAAAAAGAGGAAATCATATGATATTTTTATTACTCTATAAAATAGATTCTAACACTAACCAGAGTCATTTTACTATAATGTGAACTCTCCTACTTAAAAATAAATATCTATGATTTTCAAATAACAGGATGAAAACTTTTTAAAAAACCATATACTTACATGTAACATAAATAGTTCTAACAAAGTATTATCACTGTAAGATCTCAAATGTAAAAAAAACCTCAATTATCTAAAAACTGATTTAACTATAAATAGCGAACATTTGATTCCCCTTATAAAGTTCAAGAACATAATACCTGAAGCTTCTCTTGGTTAGATGTACGAATGATGGAAGTCAGTATATCTGGCAAAGCTTCTCTAGGCAGATTGTCCAAAAGACGTCTCAGCTTTGCAACAGCAGGAACAGACATGTCCAGCATCTCAACTAGCTGTGAGGAACACAGACCGAAAGATACTCACTACTGTTGTTTTTATTTTAATATCATCTAAACAAGTATTTAAATGAGAAAGAACTGCAACTTGCAATATAAAACTGCCTAGCTAATTTACTAAAGAGCTAATGAAATGTAAAATGTGAAACGTAAAAATATCCACACCAATCTGCCCCAAATAAACATATGGGCACACAGGATATAGAGACATGCATAAGAACCAAGTAATTCACCTGCACTGCATACTTGTAGAACTGTTCTGACAACTCTCCGAGTTCCTCCTCTGATTTATTATGCTGATTAGTGAACTGCTCTAGTCGATCCAACTGCTCGACCTCAGCCACGGGATAAGGCTTCTCCTTCAGCAGCTGCAGTATCTGGAAGCGGCACAGGCCGGTGACCAGCAGTGTGTAGTGTGGCTTGGGCCAGTTGCTGCCCACCACCTGAACAGCCAAGGCAGCGGTGCCAATCCTACAAACAGGTCAAATTCCTCTGTTATTTGCCACCTTTAATAGCGGATTTTGTGTTCTGCTTTACAAGGAGCAACAGAGATACAGGTTGCAAGAACTTCCCAGGTCATTCAATTCCTTATGAACAAAAACAATCACATTCTGCAGTACATCTTGACAGACCATAAAACATCAAAAATAACGAGTTAGCTATTAAACAAAGCAAAACAGTGTAACCAGAGGCCTGTTTGGCGAGCGCACTTTGGATCAGTAAGCGAATTTGCTGCGGATTAGCCGTTTAACCGAAGTGGCTGCCCGCGCGGCGGGGGCGGCCGGGCGCACCTGTGCAGCGAGGGCAGCTCCTCGCAGTCCGACGTGGGGTCGCTCGTGTTGGGGATGACGCCGATGATGGTGCTGCGCAGCGAGGTGCCCTTGAGCAAGCGGCTGCGCACCAGCTGCATGTTGCGCGGCGAGTCCACGCTGGTGCGCATGGTGGAGCCGGGCAGCAGGACGCCCTCGTGGGTGAGCAGCAGCGGCAGCCGGCTCGGGATCTGGATGGCGCTGCCCGACGCCATGGCCGCCCGCGACGCGAGGCGACCGCAGCTCCGCCGCCCTCCGCGCCCGCGCTCCGCCCCGTACGGGCCGCCGGCGGGGACACGCCGCGCCGCTCCGCGCGGAGCCTGCGCCGCCCGCGGGCGCCAGGGGGCAGGCGGCGCCTGGGCTTCCCCAGGGAAGGACCTTCCTGAAGGGTTATTTATCTACTTATTTATTGCCTTTTTTAACGAGTAAATGAAGGTGCTGTGAATACTAACTCTGACATAAGCAATATGTAACAAAGGGGAGTTTTTTACAATATCATTTAAATAATTTAAACCCTGTTAATTATACATTTTGGATATCTTCTCCTTAGATCCTTAAGCAAAAGCACTGCTGTGCCTCTGCTCCCAGCTTTTCAAGACCCTGCTTTTCATTTATTTATTTATTTATTTATTTATTTATTTATTTATTTATTTATTTTTCCCTGCCCTAGGCGACCCCAATCCCTGTGCTGAGTGGAGTCCAAGGCCAGCACCATCCCGGGCTGGGCACTGGGGAAGATGGAGGTACCACCGCTGCCCACTTTGCAGCAGAGGGAAAAAGGTGCAAGATCAGAATTGCAACACACAGGGAATGCTGGTTGCTAAAGGGCGGCCTGTGGTCCAGCCGCGTGGAGCGCGGAGCAAAGGTGATGCTGCACAGAGGTGAGGGCTCACGTGCACCAAGGGGCTGGCGAAAGAGCTTGCCACACACGGGGCAGCCCCAGCGACAGCAAACTTGCTCGTTCATGCAGTTTATTAATTCCTTCATAGTCCTTTGGCCTACTTGGAAATGCCATGGTAACAGGATATGTGGAAATACTAAGAATACATTTAAATGCAAGAAAATTATTACCTGTGAGAAACCTATCTTCTTTCCAAAGCAGCCATCTCAGGTAACTCAAGAAGAATCTGGAATTTACTGTACTGTTCAACATGACATTTATAAAATATTAACACAGAAGGGGATCTTACACAAGACTATGGGAAATCTTTCTTGAGCTTTCTAGAGCTAAATGTATTTACTTGCTAAAACATACACACAACACACCAGATGTTTAAGTTGGCACATAAACACAAGCCAAATGGAAAGGTTAAACACTTGCTAATCATACTTATTGTTTATTTTTTGCATCACAAAGCCTCATCATGCTTATTCTCCAGGCTACAATTTTCCCTCTCCACTGGAGACAACTATCCCTGTGGTCATTAGAGGAGGTTTCTTATCTCATTCTGGAACAGTACCAAAAAATCTCAGTAAGTGCCCTTCAAACGCCTTTCACTTTCTCCTCCAGCAGTATTTTTTACTACGAATATGCTACTGCCTTTCTCAACCTCTTTCTTGGCTAGCTGAACCTCCCTTGATTCGTGAAGAAACCACCAAGGCAGGAAGGTGTTAAGAGAAGTCTGCCCCTGATGTGAAGGATTTTGGAAAAGAAGGGACAACTGCCTCCTGATCTGAGCTCCCCTGAATCTCACCAGCAACCTCTGTGCAAGTCCACACTACCTGAGCTACAATATATTTCCCACAGAGATGTTCAGCCTTATCTAAGGATTTAATGTCAGAGAAAAGCTACCACATCTACAGCAAAGCTTTTCAATAGTTGTTCAAATTTTCACCTTACTTGTAATATCAAAGACTGGCTTTTGTTGCATCCTTATCTAATAAAGACGAATGAAAAAGTCTTCCATGATCAGGTCACCACTTAACTGCCAGGGATTGAGCTTCTGTATCCTCTCCTTGCTAGACACGATTTTATCATCCTTAAAAGGTGGATAACCTATAACATTTCCCTTAAATGATATATCTGCCTCATTCAATGCAGTGTTCCAAGCAGTGTTTCTACACCTTACAGTGATTTTTGTACTAAAGGGCAAGACATAATACAGATAAATTTTTTTTCTCACACATTTCTTTCTTGTACACTTTCACAAGCCCTAGACTGACTTTTACATAAATGAAGACATTTTTGCTTACATTAATACTCTCACTGGAAACTGCACAGAGGAACTGCCTAGATTAACCTAAGTTGACCTAACCTTTAAACTAATTGCACAAAGAAATTACTTTAGTATTACTCTATATAAAAGCATTTGCTTCAAGAATTATGTCCAAAGGAAAAAAAAAAAAAAACCTTTTTAATACAATAAGTACTTGAATCTAAGTTTTACATTGCATATTCATGATTTTTACTATAAATATTTTGGTTCTTTTGAAATAAATATGAGACACTCTACATGCAAACTCCAAATGAAAAGTCAGAACTGAAATAGTAGCATCCAAATTAGGCTTTGTTTTTTTATCCGGGGATCCTTTGAGTTGTTAAAGAGAAAAAGATTCCAAAGATAATCTGAAAAATGAATGTAGTCTAATTTCTGATGATATGTGTCCTTATACAACAAGCTGCCAAGATTTTTCCATGTATTCTACCTGTCCATCCCTGTTCCTCCTACTGCCCTGGTATTCCCCATGCTGCAATGTTCCTAGCTCATTCCCATGAGTCCTGTGCCCTCTTGGCAGGTGCTCCTGGCTGGCACCAGGGAGCCTGGCAAGCAGCAGTCCAAGAGCTGTAGGCAGTGGCAGCTCTGAGCACAGTAAGTTGCCAGAAGACAAGGTCCATCCCCCATGCACAAGCTGACCTGCATACAGTGTACGCTCACTTGATTATTTCCCTCAATATCAATCCTCCTCCCCACAAGCAATTCCTGCCATCCTGGCATGCAATAGGAGTCCCTCATGACTGGGAAGTTTATATAAAGCAATTTCAAAGGATATCACGATATAACTGAACTGCATTTAAAGGTTCATTGGTTTTCGTATCATGTACTTCTACTCACAGTAAAGTTGCAGTAGAAATTAAGTTGTTTTTTAATGTAAATTTCACATTAAATATCTTCAGTTATTCTTTCTTCATAGAAAAGTGTCTGATTTTGCACATCCAGCTCAATTAAAAGCTGCCAGTTGGATACACAGGCACAGAGAACTCACGCCAGGAAATGCTGGCAGTGCACTCCTAAGCACATGAACAAGCGTGAGACCTTGGAGAAATTTCTGAAGCTGTGTATGGCATTCTTTTGTGGTAATAGTAAATTGTATTTTAGGAAAAACTGCTAACAGACCTCACAAGAACAACTGAGCTTAAATTCAATCTCCTATTCAGAAATGAAAGAGAGCTCCATAAAACAGGGGAAAAGGAAATAGATGCAAAGAGAAAGAAATTTTGACCTTATTCAAATTTGAACTTGGAGTTAAAAGAAGGTAGAACTTTTTGCCTATCATAGAATCACAGAACACTTAAGGTTGGAAGGGACCTCAGAGGTCATCCAGTCCAACCTCCCTGCTCACGCCTACCCAGAGAAGGTTTACACAGCACACACACACCACAAAAGTTACACTTCTGAAGCTTCTGATGGACAAGTAATATTCATGGGGAATTAAAGTAATGGAATCAGTAGAGCTCATCAGCACAATTAACACTGATGAGGATTCAGTTGTAGAGAAAAAAAAATTGAGTTTATAGCTAAGAGGAGTGATTTTTCTCCTGACACCAAGGAGCACATGGAAAACAACAGAGTTCTGGCTTATGGAAGTAAACCATTTTCCAAATTAAACTCAATCATTTATTTGGTCCATAATTTAACAAAACAACACTTAGAAGGAGCTGCAAAATCACCTTTTCATATTCCTCCCACCAGACAAAAAAAATCCTTTTCTGTAGTTCAAACGAGTTTTTATCTCTCCAGCATAAAAGTTAAGCTTTCTCTGCCTCTATCTCCCTGCAGCTGGGCTGGTCTCTCTTTAAGGGGAGGGAAGGGAACCCTGATGCCAGAAGGTTCCTTGCAAGTTGAAAGTGGCAGCTGAGACTGTTAAAGAGCAGGAGAACAGTGGAAGCCAGGGCACAAAGGCAGTAAGAAGGGAGAGAGGCAGGTGACAGGGAAGTAAAGCATGGGGAGAAACTGGCTAGGACACGCAGACTGAGTAAAGATTAAGACGAGGACAAAGTAACAATATTAAAGGAGAAGGAATAGGAAGAAAACAGGTAAATGCCTTAATTTGAATCTCTAACAGACTGCTAAACTCTGCTGCCATTTTCTCAGCACCTCCTGCTGTTACTGTCTTGCACTGGGGTACTCAGGAATTCTCAAACTCACAGTTATATATACCTGTTTAAAAGCACATTATGTTCTAAAAAAATCTCATTTGACTGATTTAACATTGATCTAGAAAAAATAACTGACATTTTTTATATTAAAAAATATGTACAACTGCTAATTTTGATGACACCAAAAAGTGAAGAAAAGACTGTGATTAAAGCTGGAAGTAAGAATAAGAAGAAACCATTAACTAACCATTTCTCTCATCTCATCTAGTGATAAAACCAAAGCAGGACCAGGCCTGGATTCCCACTGGCTGTGGGACAGGCTATTAGAGATACTGTAAATCCTGTAAGGTCGTTTTCCTTTTTGAAGAATATAAAACAAAAATGAGAAGACAGTTCTCTTATTTATCGTATTATCCTTATCTAGTTAATTATAACCACAAAGTAACAAAATAACAAATTTGGATTATCTACATGCTAGGGGACATGTTCTTTTCCTTCGAAGGAAGCTGGGAACTAATGCACAACTCCGCACTACACAGACATCCTGCTTTGGCTCGTCATGGCGGCAGCACAGCCTAAGCTGCCCTCATATGCCTATCATTAATTGATGAAAACTTTCTAGTTCATCTAAGCATGCTTGTTGCTAAGCAATGTTTTGTTGCTATTTTTTTGCACACATTCAATATTACTAAGCTAACTGAGCACAATATCTTTAATGTTGCACCTATACTTATACAATGTTTGGTCTTCAAAAGAAATTTGTTCTGTAAAAGACAACTAATACAGCATTTCCTTAATTTGAAACCTTATTTCAGTGCAAAATCTCATTGAACTTTGGTTCTTATCATTCCCTAAGCTTCACCTGACATATTTTTGTTCAGATAATACCACTCTATTCCACATTTATTGCTCAGACTTCTTTTCCCTGAATCACTTGATGCAGGGTGCTGCAGGTGCACTGCTGAACACCACC